TTTCTGCAAGGATGGTAAGAGTAAAGATATTTACCTTAATAAATAAAATACATGATAAATTTAATTTCCATCATTCTCCAAATAGAATACACTTCTAAATAAAATGATTTTTAAGTTGAGGCTGGTGTAAAATTCCAGCTACACTTTTTTGTCCCGCGGGTTACATTACACCCTGCGTAATGTACGTATACGTGAAAGTACAATATGTATAGTAAATTATACCAGACTAACATCTCAGAGTATTGGATATACATTGCCATCGTATTACGGGGATCAGTACAGCCGGCTTTAGCCCCGACATTGACCTTGAATTCGAACCTCCAACAGTATCTCCTGGTAGAAATTCTTCTAAGTAACTATGAGACCAAGTATTCCTCTCATCCGAACATTAACGAAAGAAAGCGCGGCTAAAAGAGTTTCTGTAACATCGTTCTCGAACATCAACGAAACTCGAAACTTTCTTTCTCCGGATTGGTGTTAATTGTTGTGTATTATGTACATGATTTGGATAACATTGAAAACTCAGTGGTTCGTCAGCGTGAAAATTCGATTTCACTGATAATAACATACTTAATGAGGACTATGTGATTTACGTTGAACACTCATTATTCTGGGAAATATGAGTTCTGATATCTGATATGATGATATTTATGACAATTAATTAATATGTTTAATTTTTTTTAAATGTTGAAATTAAATAAATTCAATGTATTAAAATTAAATGAATTCAATGTGATTGTATTCTTAAAGTTATGCCTGCAGTAAATGTGGTACTTGATAATTAAAGAAGAATAAAATAAACGTAACATATAACTAACTTCTAATACGTAATATTTATTTCCAAAACTGTATCTGTTACGAGTTTATCTATGATATTACGGCAATATTATTAAGAATATTATCATTGAACACATGTTGCTTCACCAAATAATGAAGTTTGTTATAGCGCCGATTTCACGAGTAACCTTTGGGGATTTAGATAGCTTACAAACATTATCTACAAATGAAACTGTTTTATAATAGGTCTAAACGTAGCATATAATTTCATGGACTTTTAATGGAATAATTGCACTGCTGTAAAAATAAATAATTACAACAGCATAATAACTTGTAGACTATAATATAAATTATATGGTATACATCATAAAAATTACCATATAACAATACCTCTGTTATAAATATTAATTTAATTAGAAACATGTCATTAGAAATTATACTATCATATACTTAATACTTATTAGGAGGCAATAAAATTGCTTAGTAGTAACTACTAAATGAAAGCAAGAACCACAATATTAACATTAAAATATGTTAATAATCATTAATCTCATTAATTCTATATTAATATTAATATTATTTTTACTACATCTATAATATTAATAATAATTGTACACAATCTATAGTTACTTACTAAGTAATGGTACACTGACAATAGCTATTACAATTACTTACTTAAAAATTGTTACAAAATTGTATTATCACCTTCGCCATTAAAATTTTGCAAGACGAATATAAAGGCGACAACCTGCACAAACCTGTAATTATTATTATGATCAGCTAATTAATCGGCGGCGACCGATTCAAGTTGACCAGAGAAAGATGATCGTTCGGAATTGGAACGCCGATAATATTATACCAGCGAGACGAATTAAAGAATTGCCGTCGTACGGCTGACGTGCCGAATCGTTTCGTGCCGATCTCGTATTCCTGCTGGCCGATACGATGGAAAGTTGGCCTGCGTGTTGCTCGTACCATAGGAATTTAAACGGGGATATAGGTATAAGAACACGGAGACGGGGAGTCGTTCGCGGTAGTGTGAGGCATAAACGCGCCGGCACCACTCCCAGCGTGACCACCATTGCGACACAGGACACAGGATACGGCCATGCGCGTCGCGGTGATCGTGAGTAGCCAAAATTACTTTCTTTCCTTTCATCCTTTTTTTTTTTTTTTTTTTCTTTTGCATCCATTAAAGATCCAGCGATATTTTGGCCCCGCGTGTTGTCCGCCATTTTGTCGAATCAACCCTTAACTTTTTTTTCCTCTCTCTCTCTCTCTCTCTCTCTCTCTACAATCATCGTTTATTACAGGGATTTTTTCATCCTTCGCTTCCCTGGCTTGCTAAAAAGATTCAGAAAACTCAACTCAGTGTATGGAAATATTAACAAACTGAAATAATAATACAACGATAAAAAAGGATAAACAATGATAAACAATAATAGATGAGAATGTAACATTAGAGTAGAATAGTGATATTTTATTATACAAAATAAATAGAATCTTTTATTACTTTTTAGTTGAAGCATTGTCTTGAAGTTTTCATGTAAATTGTTCGTGTATTGGTTAAAGTCGTGACGTTCAATGGACCGTAGTAGAATTAAAAGTTCCAAGGACCGACGTCCTTTCACTAATGACGAGAATACAAGTTTGGAAACAGAGATTTGAATTTGAACGTGGTCCCATAATTCCATCCTCGTTACGTTCTCCACGAATCTGGAAGTGATGCGCACGTAGCGCGAAGTTTGAAAATGATTGGAACGAATCTTACTAACAATAAGAGATAATAAATGAATGAATCTTACTAACAATAATAATTGTTCAGAAGATTGAGAGAAAGTCGAGAATCAATTGAAATATCCTATTTGTACGTTGAAAAAAAAAAAGTTGAGGTAATGAGAAATTAAATGTAATTAGCTATTAATTTCAAAAAGTGGAAAATGTAATATTCTTAAGCAAAGAAAATATTTTATAGGTTTAAAAAACTTGGAAAATGTTTTAAAAATTTGGAAAACTTAGGAATTATAGTAAAAATTTCAGTACCGAGAGAAAGTACTAGGTTTTTCATTTAAACTTCTCTCTCATGAAGAGAAAAGCGACAAAAGTTCTGTTTATAGAAAAAAAAAAAAATTTTTTTTAATTTTAAACTTTATTTTACGTTATGCTCTCATGACATGTTTATATCAAAATCATAGAAGAAGGACAAAGGGAAAAGAAGAAATAAGATAGTCCGAGACAACTTTTAGACAACGTGTAAAAAAAGTGTATCGACTTACGTATAGTGTTTCCTTTATACTTGACATTCCTTTCAATCAGCCCTGCCAGCTTATCCACGTTCCTAAATACACTTGAGCCGCAAAGCTTTCTGTTTCGACCGGTTATGCTCTGTAATTGCCACATGTTGTTACATAAGAAATGCAAGTCAACATACTTTTCGTTCAATTCTGCAGTTAGCTACAGGAAGATAAATTTAAAAATTGTTTGTTACATTATTTAAAAAAATAATATAAAGAAATAAATATTTTTATATTCATATAATAATTATAATTATTTATCAATTTACCTTATATATTTATCAATCAAATACTATGTAATTAGAGTTCTTAAACCAAGCATCAGCAGTACCACCCATGTTTCAATTAATCTGTTAACCGGGTCATTGCTTAAGCAAAAACTTCAATACAATTATAAAATTAATACTGACAAAGATAAATTAATCCTCATTGAATGAATCTTATTGTTAGTCTTTGTATATAACTTAAGCTATTAAATTAAAAATAGAGAATTGCATTTGTCAACTTAACACGCCCAATTTCAACTTGGAAGCGCTTCAATCTTACGCGCCCCTTTCGAAAAACGTGATGCTCATCGCAAAATCAAAGAAAACAGGGGATCAAAGATAAGGAACGAAGAAAGATCGTTTGAAGGAAAGGTGAAAGTATTCACGAAGGAGTGAATGAACGAGCGAGTATGTATCGGCAGAGAAAGAAATCGGTGGGGAGGAGGGGAGAGAGAGAGAGAAATTGTAACAGATCTTGAACGCATTTCTTAACGATATTCGGCCACGGGAGCCGAAAATTAACGAGTTGCCCGGTTACAAGCGAACCGAGTGAAAGTGCTCGGGCAAGAAAGTCGAATAGATTTTTCGTAGTATGCTCCCTGGAAATATTTAGGTGCGTGCCACCAGTTGGAACGAAGTGCAATCTCGTAAGAAACAAATCCGCGTCCACTCGATCCGCCTGTCTCTCCCTTCTCTCTCTCTCTCTCTCT